GGGAGGAAAGACTGATTCCCAACCAGCATAAAAACTCATGCAGACATGCAAACACAACCTGAGAGGGGGCAATAGGAAGTTTGGCTTTATGTCAACAAAGTGTCAAGTAATGAACACACACACTGCAATGGACAGTTCTCTTTAAACAGACTTTAAATCTCCAGTTGAGAACACATCTCCAAAACGGTCCTACTTCTTTTATCCTTTTATCTTCTCTTTATTTTACATCAGGCTCCTCAGGATAGAGTTTTAGGTAGTTTTCAGTTTTCTTCTCGCAGCAGATCACACTCGGATGGGGAGAGTTTGGCTCATCTGTTGCCGAACGATTTCCTGACTGCTGTCCGGACTCTTCCTGTTGTGTCCCGGCAGAGTGCCTCCGAGCCGCAGCAGGTCCCTGCCAACACAGAGCAACAGGTTCACATCCATTTGAAACAAAAGATAAGGCTCATTATTACACCGCTAAGTGCTCTCATCGAAGGAGGATAAAGGTCCCATCCATCTGAGTGCTGCATAGAACATCGCCAGCACCTTAGACCTCTTGGTTATAAACAAAAAAAGACAAATGTCCTGATCTACAGATGTAAAAAAAAACTAATTCCAAGCCAAATATACCCATCTCATTTCATAGTTTTAATAAAAAATGCAACATATTTCTTAGCTATCATGGGAAACAGCCTCCGTGCGTCCTTTGTTGCTCGGCCAGCGTCCTTGTTTTTAAGGATGTAGATACTGCAGAGATACGCCGTGTCTCATATCCTCTCCCTCCCTCCCGTTATCTGCCCCAAAATCAGCCAGCAGCCAATGGCAGGTGAGTGGGAGCGAGCATTCACACGAGAGAACACGGGAGACGCTCTCTAAACCGTGATCCGACAACACGACCCTATCTCCCGCCTCCTCTGCCGCCGTCTCTGCTGCATACAGATGAGGCCATAAATTAATCACTGGCATATGATCTGCATACAGCGACACATAGCATAACACACACACACACACACACACACACACACACACACACACACACACACACACACACACACACACACACACACACACACACACACACACACACACACACACACACACACACACAATTCGCTCAGCATTGGGCGCGCCCTCCCCTGATGCATTAAAAAGCTCATTAGTAACCTAATTAAACACATTCCTCTCTTTTAGCTTCTCCTCAATCTCCCTTATTACTCACACTTCATCACCTTCTGCTTTTCCACATCAGCAGCTCTGGCTTCTGTCTGTCCTATCACCTAAATTCCAGCATCCAGCCAAGTATAGGGGGAATTAAACCGAGGTCAGCCATTACATTTCCACACACAATTAGCTTCGCTGAGCCCAAATGCTGGCAGAGGGATCGCCCTGGGGCCTCTGTGTTGGAGTGAGACTGAGAGCCAAGGAGCTGGCACAAGACCCTGATGCCGTATGTATGAATTCTGCCTTTGTGCCCGTCGGAAACAGGAAACGGTGGCATTGTCATGGATGAGGAAGTGCTCTTGATGAAATATACATCACTACAGAGCTCAGGATCTACCAGCACTAATCATACTGGATGCCAGGCTAACAAAATTCAGAACAAACACGTCAGTAAAAATTGGTCGGGGCGTTTGGAGCCATTGCGCTAAAAACAAAAGTTGAAAAACAACTTGTCAATGTGAGCATACCTATGAATAAGTCAACTACACTTTCAAAGGAAGCTTCGGAGAAAAAAGGCAGACGTCTGTCAGCACATTCACTTCAAAGAAATCTCTAGAATTAACCAAAAGCACAAAACAAAACTAACCCAACAAGTACGAACCTCGGTATGCTTCTTTTTAGTACAGCCATATATTTATATATGTTTTCTAACTTTAACATCTTATTCCAAAAACCCAGAGCCACCAGGAGGAGTCTTTACCATGCACTTCACAGCTGCCAAATACAATATGGGTGACAATTTCACACAAGGTGAAAGAGAAACAATTGCATCACTCCTTTCATGTGTTTGCACTGTTCATCTGTTATTGTGGAAAAAAACTAAAAAGTGACTATATGGAAAACCCAGCAGAAAAATGCATATATTTTCAATAACAGGTAGCAGCTGTCAAGTCCGCCCACAGCAAAAATAAACTGCAAGGAATACATTACTGACTTTATGATCAAAGTTCTAGCAAATCTCAACAATTTTCCAACATGCTTCTGCATTTACTATAAATGTTGGTTGCTGTTGTTAACTGAGATTCTTTTGAAGATCAACATCCATTTGGTACAACCCTTTACACCCACAGTGAGTAAATCAAGAGTGTCTGAGAGGTTGCTAAATCTCACTGCCAAGATTGCAACGGTTATTTGCTTTGGTGTTCTAACAAGAGCTAAGATAAAACACATTTCCAAAAGGAAACACTTTCCATTGGCATTGAAACCTTTATCCATTCACTTCAATGAAACAAAAACAGTTTGAGAACAATGCTCAGTGCTTAACAATAAGCATGTGAGAAAGCTACTTCCTCACCCTGAGTAGGTGCTAGTCACCACCTTGAGGCTGGCGGCGTTGCGGAGCAGCTTGTCCAGGGTGCTGACGATGCGGGAGAACTTGGGCCGCAGGTTCCTCTCCTTCATCCAGCACTCAAGCATCAGCTGGTGCAGCACCATGGGGCAGTCCATGGGGGGGGGCAGCCGGTAGTCCTGCTCTACTGCCGTCATCACCTGAGGGACAGGAAGTTATTCTTAATAGTCAACCCAGTCTCACGGCATTTCGTGTTATAGTCACAACATTTAATCTATTGATTTGTGTTCACCAACACGATTATCCCCTTTTTTTGGTGTCACACAGAACGATTTTAAAATGTATTTCTACTGGTAATGTGTTTCGTGCCTGCAGCACGTATTTTTCTCCGGTCGGGTCGTGGAAGACCGGGAGCTGTGTGGTTCATAAAAACATGTTCTTACTCAATATCAAGCCACAATTATTGCTTTTATTTTAAATCGTATAATTTCTGACTTTTGTTGCCGTCTGTGAGGAAAATAAATGGGGCTCAGAGCCTCAGAATACTGAAATCTGTATTTTTTAAATCTTTTTTTCCTTCTAATTTGTTATTCTTTTCAAAATAACACACTGTTATTTACTCACCAATAACACACAATTATCGTTGCTTTTATTTATTGGTTTAATTCCATAATCTCTGGCTTTTTTGGCATCAGTCAGAACTGAATTTCAAAATAACACTGGAAAATGCATTTCCTGCAGAAAATGCGTGTGAATGCTGTAAACTGTGAACATTTATGGCTGAATTTAGCTGAAAATGCAGAAAAAGCTGAATATGTTATTAGCTGAATGGTAGCTGCTTTTCCTACAAAAATGCAGAAAAAGCATAATATTTAAAAGGAAAGGTTTTAAAAAAGGTATAAACAACAACATCTATAGCCTTGATGTCCTGAAATAGCTGAATAATGTAATAGTTGAATGGTTTCTGCAGCTGAAAATAGGCTGAAGGAGTTAAATATCAGATGTAAGTAGTAGTGAATTAATTT